TGCATTTCATGTGACCCAACTCCAAATCTCAACAACGTTAAATAAAATGTGTCGTGGACCGCGAGTGCATTTCATGTGGCGTGGTTCGAGGCGTGTTTTAAATAGCGTTGAATCTTCCTAAAAATAATTAAAAGCGGTTTAATAAGTTAAAATTGTACCATACGCTAAAATATGTATTAAAATCAGATAGTATGCCGGTTATGATAGTTTAAGAGGTCGTGCTAGAACCACGGAATCCGGGGGTGCCTAACACCTTCCCTCGGTTAACAAAATTCCTTACTCATAATTTCTGGTTCGCAGACTTCAAAAGGAAAGTCGAATTTCCTCGATTTGGGATTTTAAAATAAACCGGTGACTTGGGACACCAAATAAACTATTCCAAGTGGCGACTCTGAATTAAATAAATAATCCCATTTCGAATAATGTCAATTAAATTAGAAAAACTCCCTTGTATACCTCTCGGGGTAGGAAAAGGAGGTGTGACAGTGTCAGCATTAAGAAAAATTTTCCTTTATACCTGGAGTTACTAGATTTGGTGGTGAATTTGTTCGTGTATTGGTAGGCTTGTTCTTAGAGAATGAAACTGTTATCCAATCACCTTTACCAATATTGTGTTGTTGTGTCTTGGCCTTCCTGCTGCTTATTGGAATTTGTAGACTGCAAATTAACATATTGGCACTTGGTTTGGCTATGGCCTAATCTACCATAATTTTTACATAAGAAGTTTTCACCTTCGTGGTGAATTTGTTGTTTGTAGTTGCCAGTATAAATACAACTTTTAACTTGCATGTCCATAGGAACTTCCATACACAATCTTGCATATCGTCCTCTTAAAGTTGATGATGTACACGCATCAATTCTAAGTAGTTTTTCAATTTTGTTACCAATTTTTTTTGTAGAATAGCGGAGTCGTAAAATTCTGTTGGAAGTTGATGTAGACGTATCCATACCACTGATATTAGTTGTTTGGCTTCACTGGCTACAAACTGAGGTTCCTATATTTATACAGATAGAAAGAAGTCATTAATGAACCAAGTACCACTATTCAATGCTCTTGACATATTCTCCTCTTTATTAAATTTCACAATAAAATAGTCTGCTCCAAGGTCAATGAGATTAAAGTTTTTAGTAGGCTTCCAAAATGATGCATTTTCCTTTTGAGATATTGGTGGAGTATACGTTTCCCCATGAGCTTAATTATGAGGGAGTATTTCCAAGGTTGGTAAATCCTTTGGATATCATCAACTGATAGAGTGACTCTTAGATTTTCATTGATATTGAGTACTTCTTATGTGCACATACTTGATCCAGTTAAATCTTATGTTGGACAATCAAGTATCATGGCTTGAGTATGTTGGTTTTCTGGATGTGTGGAAATATGGGAGATTTAATTTTCGGTGGAGTTTAGTAGTAGCATTTCCTTAAAAGATAGAGTGGGAGGTTGAAGTGTATTGGGTGAGAAATTAGAATGTGTATGTGAATTATTACCTCTAGTTGCATGGATGTTGTTAGGTGGCTTAGGGGGGATTTGGAGGTTTTGATTGGTAGTGATTGAGACGTTGGTTATGATTGTTTAGAGGTTGAAGATGGTGGATATTAGAGAGAAGGTAGACCTTCTCACTCTAAGTTCACCTGTTGTACTCGTATTTTAGTTGCTGCCCATAATCTACGCACGAGGTTTTGTTTGATTAATATTGATACTATTTTATGAATTGACTAATATTGGTAGTATCTGAAAGGTACATTGAGCTGTTTTCTCTTTTAAGTGCAGACTGTGGAGTCTAAAGTTGATTATGAGACACTAAACCTTAAAAGCCTTTTAAATTTGAGAATCTTACAGAAAGACCCAAAATAAGTCCAAACTTACCAATATTTAGCAATTTATCATAGACTTATTACAACTAACCAAGTGCGTATAAAAATTGAATACCCATATAAATAAGGATTCTTTCTCTCCAAGAATCACATGCAAAAGATCTTCAAGGAAGTTTCAGAGATTAGGTATCAAACAAGGTGATGAACACAAAGAAAAAAAATGCAAAATTCTAAATACCTAAGAAAAAAAGAATCTTTTTCAATTATTATGGTTGAAATTAATTGAAAAATACATATGAAGTCAAATTATAAAAATTGAGAAAGTTTGGAAGTGATTTGGACTGATTTAGTATCATCGTCGCTAAAATCGAGTTTAAAAAATTCGTATGCGCTACATGTATCACGCATGCATCTCACATACAAGTATACATGGATATACATGTGATACATATTTGATATACATATGGTACATATGTGATACACAAAAATTACACAGCGTGATACACATATCTATCTTTTTTCATACTCATCTTCTATTTCGAATTTTCAACTCAAACTACCTCAAAACTTCACCAAATCATCTCAAAACTGAGATTCAAACTCCTTAAAATGTACTCATTCTATTAAAAAAAACACCACTCAAAAGAAAACAAAAATTTAATTTTTTTTACTACAAATAACTAATTGACTAATATTGGTAGTATTTGGATAATACTGATAATATTTTAAAAATTAACTAATTTTTGTACTAATTTGTTTATGGACTGAGATAACTGCTAGTTTCTCTTTAAATTTCCACTATTCGTCCTAAAATCGGCTCTCTTGTTCGGCCCAAAACCTCAATAAATATAAAGTCTGCTCACTTTTCTTGTTCAAAGGGAAAACTGAGCGATTAACGATAAAAAATCGAAGAGTTTGACAGTGAACGTAAGATTTCAATCTCCTCGCACATTTCTCTTTACAATTATTCTAATCTGGCATTTGATTAACTAGAATTTTCGCAGTTGATGGAATCTGCACCGGCAAAGTGTAGTTTATTGAGCCCTGAAGCTGATATTCAGAGAACACAGTATGAATTCTCTCTTCTCTCATCTTTGAGCGTGTGATGAAATTGTACAGATCTGATTAGTAAAGTACATTCTGTATTTCTGTTTTTTTTGTAGGTTTTTTTTGGTTGGGAACTATAGGTTTTTCTAGCTATGGGTGTTTGGAACCAATTTTGTTTAACCCAGAAATCCCGAGGCCAGTGGGGCACGGTTTAAAGCAATGTGGATGCGCTCTTACCACTAGACCAAATCATTGGGGCGATTGTTTAAACCAGTAAAAGTATTTTTTTTCCTCGAAGTGGGAACTTATAATTCACCGAATCTTGCCCATATGCGTGTCTATGGTCTCAGACTTAGATTAGAACATATAGAATTCAAAGAAAAAGTTTAAGATTATGTACTATATATTAAGTGGCATTTGCTGCGGATTTGCCTGTGCACTCTCCACTAATCAGCTTGGGAGATGTTTCTAATAATGTTACGGCTTCCTATTTGATGTGCTTATTCCTTTACAATTTAAGCAAAATGAAGGAGTTTCCTTGATTAGTTCCTAGTGAGTGTTTCATAGTGGAACTCACTTGTCCCAGCTCGAAGCTTTTATAACCAAAATTGTACCAGTCAATAGTTGGTAGTTGGGAATGACTTGTTGGATACAATTTGAAAACCGATTAATGAATGACAGTGGATCACTTGTTTAATTCTTGTTTTCCTATTTGATGTGGTAACTAAGAACAGAGTAAAGATTCTTGTTGTTGAAAATCAAGAGACTGTTAGAGAATAGAGGCTGTTAAATGTAAAACCCTGAGGTTTACAGAGAAGAGGAGAAAATGATATACTTTGCTAGAACTTATGTACCAAGAATGATATCGAAGATAAGAAAATGTGGAGGTCTGCAAGAGATTCAGTTTATTGACTAGGTTACTGTGTATTGGTCGTGAACAGCATGGTATGAGTTTGTATACAAAACTTTCCTCTTTGCATGGGAAAAAGGTTCAATTTTGTTGTTTTAAGAGTATATTGTACAATACAGCAGCTTGAACACCTATTTGCATATTTGCCCACGTAGAAATTGCATATTTGCCCATGTAGAAATTGATATTTGTGAATTGTCTCTTCTTTTGCCCTTTACTTTCTGTACTCTGGTTGTTTGCAATTTTAACTTGTATGCTTCTTGGTTAGGTATCCATATGTGACGGGGACATCAGTTATCGGCATCAAGTACAAGGATGGTGTTCTGTTGGCTGCTGATATGGGAGGTTATTTTCTAACTTTAGATTTCGTGGATATATTATTTTGAAAATCATTTGGTCTCCTGTTTGTTTGTTTCTATAATTATATGGTCCAATTGGCCTAATCGTAACTGAAGTCATACGTCTGGCTACAAGCCCAAAATATATTACGGAACGGCAACATGATCATAAACATGAAATAACAAAAATATGAATTCCATGTATACATCTAGACCTCCCACAGAAAGTACATGGAACCTCTAAGGGCATACATGAGAACAATGAACAGGACATGTCCCCAGCTCAACAAAAGAATAAAGTCTAATCTAGCTCTCACCGATAAATAAGTGAAGCTCACCAAAAGAATGGAAGCTGAAGGAGAAGATGCCTAGCTCGTACATCAGCTCCGTGTGCAACAGTGACTGCAATAATCAACAAGAACAATATCTGGAGATCTGAGTACAATTTATGAGTTGTATTCAGTAAGTGTCATTGGCTCCGCCCGATAAGGTTGAAGGAAGACTTGAAAATATGGGTAATGCTAATAAGCAAAACATCATGAAACATTTCATAAAACCCATTTATGAAAATCATATACATATAAACATTTAAAAAACATGAATCTGAAAACTATGCCATTAGGCCATAAACTTTATAGACACTGGCATAATCATCGCTACGCCATGTGTACATCATGATGGACGACCAACACCCGGTCGACAAGGCTGCCTCACCACAATCTTGTATGGTTTCAACGATAAGAGCTAGCACCAATAATACATCCTTTTTGGGATGGTATGAATAACTGCTAATTTAAAATGGATCTAACTGCTATCTTACACGTGCATGTGTAGTTTTTAGATGAACGCCCTTTCCCTAGGAAGCGGATATCCTCTCAGTTACTTAGGTTACTCTCAAAACATATAAATTGAATCATATGACCATATTTAGGTTGGGATTACCTGAATCACGTCATTAGACATGTAATTAGCCCGAATAATTATTAAGTACGTACGGGGCATTACATAGTTTGGCTTTCCTGTATTTCTAGCATTTGGCGTTTCATAGTTGGCATTGTTCATCCAGGAAATGTACAGAATCTGACTGATATTGAGTTATAATTAAGATCCTGTTCCTTTGGAGCAGATGCAGTTCAAGGACTCTAGATATTTGAAATTGTTCAAGCAATATTTCTCACCAGATCATGAGATCAATAAATTGCTTTCTTGACAGTCTATGAAAATAAAAGAAATGAAGAACTGATTCAAGAGAAGCAGAATGGGGATGTCTTCCATATAAATTGTCTAACTAGCAGGTACTAGCTATAGAAGACCTCTCCTCCAAAAGATTATTTAACAATTACATACATGAATTTTGAGTACTCTGAAATAGCAAAGTACAAGGCAAAATATGAGGACTTTCATGTGCCCAAGGCTCATCTTAACATATTCGAAACCCCTTATACATTTTCATCTTAAAAAAAATGAATTAATATTTATTGGATCTTATCCACTTCTTCCTTCTTTGCTATTATATCAGAAGAAAATCTGTAATGGAGTGACTGTTTACGATGAAATAATAAATGATTGAAACAGATTCTTTTGTAGCATGAACAGTACCTCTAGTGTGATCACCTTGAGCCGTTTTATTTAGTTTATCTCTGGCTTGGAGACTAGTTCTCTGCAGGGTATTTCTCAGCTGTGATTAGTACTATACTATTTCAAACTTGAGGGATTCATGAATATGAAGTGATTTAACTGCTTTATTTAAAATACATGGCGAAAAAGGTTACATAATTCATTTCATTATTATAAGTTGTCATGTCTGGAAGTCGAAACACAGTACATCTAATGAAGCATTCACTTAACTTTTACCTTTAAATAAAAAATCAGATCATACTTTTTTCTTTGATAGGTTAAAATCACATAACTATACTTGAACATGGATGCTTCAGGTCTGATATTATTTTGCATCTTGTGTTTATAAGAGAAAATCTGGGATTCTTTCACCGCCTCTTCCCAGAAAGTTAGGGGGAAAAGAAGAATGCAAGAAATTGCTGGAGGGTGCCCTTATGAACATAGAGAAAGTGAGAAACTAAACTTTTTTTTGACACTAGGCAATTTGTGTGTGTTGCATCTAATTTAGATGTATACACTAGTCACACTGACTTTACCAAAGAATTGTTATAGTTTGGCACCGATACTGGGTGAGCCCTTATGATCGTGAAGAAACTAAGTAATTTTTGGAACCAGACATTTATGCGTCAATGAGTGTGTGTTGCACCTGATTTTGCCGAAGAAAATTTTTATATTTTGTGCTGTTGTCTGTTGTCCTTAATCAGGCCCAGCCTCTAGTATTTTTCTACTCTAACTACAGTTTGTTGGAGTAGTTCGACTTGCAATTTTTAAAGAAAAGAGAAACTAATGTTTCAGTCGCATTCAAATTAAAAGTTAAGGTCTAAATTGTCGAGATAGTGCCTAATATGTTTCAATATAGTCGGTTCTGGACTCCTTCAGAAATCAGAACTGCTGCCTTTTCTCCCAGGGGTTAACACTTTAGATTTACATGTTAGCAGCGTTACTTAAGACAACAACGGGAAGTAAGTGGCAAAATAGGAGAATGGCCTTGAAACAATGTATTTTGATTGGTTTGTACCCTTGCAACTTCCTTTAGTTTAGCTCGTTCATACTTAAAACTGTATAATATTTCTGAGTTATAATGACCCAAACAAAAGGGCCATCATCAAAGTGAGAGTTAGAGAGTCGGGTGCTAACCTAGTTTGCTTTCGGGAGAAAAAAATGGAAGTTTTGTCGGATGTGATTGCGAGGAGTGTCTGGGGAGGTAGTTGGGTAAAATATGACTGGGTTCCAGCAGCGGGAAGTGCCGGAGGCATTCTTCTAATGTGGGATGATAGAAGCTTGGAGGTAAAGGAAATTAAGAAGGGATTTTTTTCTTTAGCAGCTCTTGTCAAAGATAGAGTGAGTGGGGTGGAGTGGGGATTTGGGGGAGTGTACGGACAGGTAGGAGAAGGGTCCAAGGTATTCTTCTGGGAGGATCTGGCCAATACGATGGGGCCATTCCATGGGTTCTAAGGGGAGATTTTAACACTATTAGATTCCCGGAGGAGAGATTAGGGTGTAGTCTGATTTCGAGGGCCATGAAGGAGTTTTCTGACTTCATCAATGTTCACTTTCTCATTGATCTTCCTCTGTCAGGGGAAAGGTTTACTTGGGCCAGGGCGGAGGATTCCAACTCAAGGTCTAGACTTGATAGATTTTTGATATCGCCCTCCTGGGATGAGCTGGTGCTGAATGTGATGCAGATTCCTTTACCTAGGCTGACTTTGGATCATTTGCCTATCTTGCTAGATGGATGCAGAGGGAGAGGGGGTGCGTGCTCCCTTCCGATTCGAGAACATGTGGTTGAAGGTGCCAGGATTTGGTGACAAGGTGAAAGAATGGTGGACAAGCTACGGGTATCAAGGACACCTTCATTTCGTCTTTCGAAGAAGCTTAAATTGCTCAAAGGAGATATTATTAGGTGGAATAAGGAGGTTTTTGGGAGGGTAGAGGTTAAAATGAGGGAGCTTATGCATGAATTGGGGAAACTAGAGAGAGAGGAAGGGGCGAGAGAGTTAGATGAATCTGAGAAAGAGAGATTGGGGGAGGTTAAGAGGGAAATAGTCGAGTTAGCAATAGCTCAGGAGACTAGTTGGCGGCAAAAATCGAGGGCGCTTTGGTTAAAGGAGGGGGATTCGAATACCAAATTTTTCCATAGGGTGGCGGTTGCAAATCGAAGGAGAAACTTCATAGAGTTCTTAGTTGTGGATGGGGTGAGAATTGAGGGAGATGAGGAGGTAAAAGGGGCGATAGTGGGGTTTTATGAGAACTTATACAAAGAGGAAGTTAGTTGGAGGCCGACTCTAGGGGGAAGGGGATAGAGTTCAACCACATAGGGGAGAGAGACGGTGAGTGGCTAGAAAGGGCTTTCAAGGAGGAGAAGGTGCACGAGGCTGTGTCGAGTTGTGCTGGTGATAAGGCCCCCGACCCTGATGGTTTCTCCTTGGCTTTCTTCCAACTCTGTTGGGACACCATCAAAAGGGAGTTGATGGAAACCATTGAATACTTCTATGTGAATGGTGTTTTCGAGAGAAGTATCAATGCTACTTTTATTACTATTGTACCTAAGAAAGAAGGTGCATCTTGTATCAGAGACTACAGGCCTATTAGTCTCGTGGGAAGCATTGACAAGATTATTTCTAAAGTGCTTTCCAACAGACTCAAGAAGGTTCTTGACGTGTCCGTTTCGTCCTCCCAGAATGCGTTTGTGGAAGGTAGGCAGATCCTGGATGCCACTTTGGTGGCAAATGAACTTGTAGACTCCAGAAGGAAAAATAGAGATCCCAGCTTACTATGCAAGTTGGACATTGAGAAGGCTTTCGACCATGTCAATTGGGAGTTCCTGGATTTCATTATGATGCGGATGAGATTTGGGGCAAGATGGAGGGGATGGATCAAGTTCTGCATTTCCTCATTCAGATTCTCTATCCTGGTTAATGGTAGTCCGTGTGGTTTCTTTGACAGCTCCAGGGGTCTCAGGCAAGGAGCTGCCTGAGACCCCCTATCCCCATGCTATTCATTTTAGTGATGGATGCTCTGAGTAAAATGATGGATCGTGCGGCGGCCGGAGGCTTCTTGAGAGGATTCTCAGCTCCGATTGGGGTGCCCAGTGCCCAAAGAGTCTCTCATTTGCTTTTTGCAGATGACACCCTGGTTTTTTTGTGATGCCGATATGGATCAGTTGACCTACCTGAAGCAGGTCCTGCAGTGGTTTCAGATAGTATCAGGTCTCAAAATCAACCTCGGCAAGTGTGACATTTTCCCGGTGGGTGAGGTTGCTAACATTGATGCTTTGTCTTATGTTCTTAGATGTAAGGTGAGCTCCCTTCCCGCTACTTACCTGGGTCTCCCATTGGGCGCTTCGCATAAGGATACTATGGTTTGGAATCCAGTGATCGAAAGGGTTGAAAAAAGATTAGCAGACTGGCAGAAACGGTACTTGTCAAAAGGCGGAAAGGAAGTGCTTATCAAAAACACTTTATCGAGTATGCCCACCTATTACCTGTCCTTGTTGCAAGCTCCTGTGAGCATCACAGAAAAACTGGAGCGGCTTCAAAGAAATTTTCTTTGGGATGCGGCAGATAGAACTAGAAAGTATCATCTAGTGAATTGGCAGACATTCACTTCCCCAAAGAAGTGGGGTGGACTTGGAGTAAAAGATCTTAGGGTATTTAACAGAGCTTTGTTGGGGAAATGGCAGTGGAGATTCGGGGTAGAAGAGAATGCTCTATGGAGGGAGGTCATAGTAGAAAAGTACGATTCCACGGGAGGGGGTTGGAGGACCAAGGCAATCACAACACCTTTCGGGTGTGGAATGTGAAGGAGTATCATGAACAATTGGGAATCCTTCAGTGGTAACATCACTTACAGGGTGAGAGATGGAATGAGAATCAGTTTTTGGAATCATAGGTGGTGTGGAGAGGAAACTCTGAGGGTCTCCTTCCCCAGGTCTTCAGAGTTTCAAACCAGAAGGAATTGATAGTCCAACAGATTTGTAAGGAGCATTAAAGGGGGGGGGGTAGTATGGGACCTCTCATTTAGAAGGAACATGCAAGATTGGGAGATTGCGGAGCTCCAAGATTTATTGACACTGCTATATGGGCAAGGCAGGCCCCACCATTTTGTGATTCTTGGAGATGGGGTTTACGTGGCAATGGTTTGTTCACCGTAAAGTCCTTTTACCAGAGTATGTTGGTGAGAGAGGAGGCCTCTTTTCCATACTCCTCGATCTGGATTCCTAAGGCGCCCACGAAGGTGTGCTTTTTCGCATGGCTAACAGTGCTTTTACACTTGTTAGTTGGTGCTATATGTGTAAAAGCTCAGGGGAAGAAGTTGATCATCTTTTGTTGCATTGCCCTGTGTCCTCGGCTTTGTGGAGGGCGATCCTGAACCTTTTTGGTGTTCAATGGGTGATGCCAAGCACCATAAAGGAAATGTTATATAGTTGGGCAGGTTTCCGTAGAAGAAAAAAGCAAAAGGCGTGGAAGTTCGCCCCGTTAGCTCTCATATGGATAGTTTGGGGGGAGAGAAATAGGAGAGCTTTTGAGGGGATTGAGTCTACTTTTTCACATCTTAAGAATAGTCTTTTATCTTTGATCGCTTTTTGGTGCACTCATATAGCCCCTACTTGTATAGAAGATTGGACGTCTTTTGTAGATAATCATGTTCTGATATAAATTCTCTACTTTTTGGTATACTTCCTGTATACGAGAGTTCTCTCCCTTTTGATTAATACAATTTACCTTATCAAAAAAAATATTTCTGAGTTATGTTGGTCATTTCTTTTTGTCCTTTTTAGGTTCCTATGGTTCAACGTTGCGTTACAAGAGTGTGGAGCGATTGAAGTCAGTGGGAAAACACTCCTTTCTTGGTGCAAGTGGTGAAATTAGTGATTTTCAGGAGATATTGCGGAACCTTGACGAGCTTATGTAAGTTTTTTCCTGTAGAAGTTACTACTGAAGGTTTTAGTTTTACTGTTGCATGATGAGCTTTGGTCGTCTGATGAAATATGATTAGTGACATGTGGTAGTTGATGCTTCATTAAAGCAGCTTGTATGACAACATGTGGGATGATGGAAACTCCTTGGGTCCCAAAGAAGTGCATAATTATCTAACTCGCATGATGTATAATCGAAGGAACAAGTTCAACCCACTATGGAATTCCCTTGTACTTGGTGGGGTGAAAAATGGGCAGAAGTATCTTGGAACGGTAACAGCTATTACATTTGTCTTGCACATTCTCTTCATGCTTTGCCATTGTTAAGTGCTTAGTTATAGATGTTATATTTTTCTTTATTTTCTTCTCATCAAACAAATGCCTTTCTTTTCATTTCAACTTTCTGATCACTAATATCTTTTCTTTATCTCTTTAGGTTAGTATGATTGGTGTCCATTATGAGGACAATCACCTGGCAACTGGATTTGGAAATCACCTCGCAAAGCCCATTATCCGTGATGAATGGCGTGAAGACATGAGCTATGAAGAAGGTGTTAAGTTATTGGAGAAATGTATGCGTGTTCTTCTCTATAGGGATAGATCTGCAGTCAACAAGCTTCAGGTATAGCCCTCCTGATAGATATGCATAACTTCTAGGAAGATTTTCTTACTGTAGACTAAGCAGAAGCAGAAGAACTTATATTTTGATCTTCAAAGTTCATAGCATTTTCGTCGAAGCTAATGTGCAGCGGTGGTTTTTATTCCAAGATGTTGGAAATGCTGCAACTATTGTTAGCTGAAACATGTCAAACGGACTCGGAATTGAACGAAACCAGTTTCTATGAGTCACAAATGATGATACAGAGCCAACCATGTGGTCAAATTACCATTTGGACCACTTATGCAAAATATGAGGGGTCGGGTTCTTTATGTTTTGTTCTCCTAAAAATGCTATTTATGGATAATTCATTCCAAGCACGCCCGAACCATGTTTGAATCTAACCAAATTTTGCAGACAAGTCCCAAATAGATATCCCGAGCTACTAGAAATCTTGGAACATGATTCAAACTTCTAAAACAAAAAATGGCCAGGTCATCACAATTTTCTTCGAAGCTAATGCCACATGTTGGTACTGGTGGTTTCTATTCCAAGATGTTGGAAATGTTGGAAAGAGGATGGTTTGCATTAGTCCAAGTACCGGAAATTAGTAAAAACAAACAAAGGTAGGAAATTGGGCTTGGTAAGTTTAAATATAAAATTAATAGAACTTGTAGTAGATTTTGCATTTGGAGTTGAATGTGATGGTAGATGCATGAACTGCCTTAGTTTTTACTCTTTCATGTTCGACTTTAGGTTGATTCTCCTCCTCTTTAGATTTCCTTTAAGATGGTTCAGTGGACAGCGAAGATTGTGATTTCCCTTAATGACTGTGAACCAGCCCAATGACAGGTAGGGAGAGAGATGTTTTATCCATATTACGTTTTTTTAACTTGATAAAAAAAATTAGGTTCCTTTAAGCGAAGTTGAAGATTTATGTATTGTCTGATGTAAATTTAGTTTTTCATTGATATCTGGAGTCCTGACTATATAACATTATTCATTGCATGTTAACAAGTTTATTGTGTTTGCAAAATAAAAAAGAAATGACATCTGTGTGCTCGGTGGTTGAACTTCCATTTTGTCAATGTTGCATGGACTTGCAGATTGCAAAAATCACGGAAGAGGGAGTGACAATTTCTCAGCCATACTCATTAAAGACTTTCTGGAATTTCTCTGCTTTCCAGAATCCAACTGCTGGTGCGGTGGGGTCTTGGTAACTAGCCCCTGTATTGTCAAGGTTCGAGGCATGTTGCTGATATCAAAACTCAAATGTGCTGCATAGTTATGGTGGCGATATTGATCGTCTTTATGTTGATCTTTTATGCAACTTAAAAGATAAGCCACACGATGCAGCACGTCCCAAATGTTCGCTTTCATGTACACTGTTACCTTTGCAGATTTATTTGGTATGCTATTGTTGTCATCGGTTAAACAAGCTTTTGTGTTCGCCCTTTTGTTGTGTTGCTAGGTAAGTACACGGCATATGCTCCTTATCCCGTGTATGGATATTTGAACTTTGATAGTTGGCACTGAAATCCTTATTGCTTTCATTTCTTCAAGGGTAGGTGTAGACACTGAAATTTTAACAGAGCAAGATATCCTAAATTTATTAGGGTGGCTTGATGGCTACTCTACCCAAATTCTAATTTATGCATATAAATAAGGCTACATATGTACTTCAAAGACGATCTCAGTAATTCCATAAACTTTAGGAATATACACAAAGATATCAAATATACGATCTCCGAAATCCCATAAAACTCTTGGAATATTCATTAAGAGAACAAAGAAATGTAAAATATGTCTTGCTCAAATTTCTAGCAACATTCAAGATCCAAACGGAGTGCTTGCTACATAACATTAAGGAGATGTATATCATTCTGCGTTCGAGAAATACGGTGCTAAGACCCTCGAATTATGGATAATAAATCGGAGGAAAGAATCAAAGGAACAAACAGAATTGTACCCGCATTATTTTATCAATAAAATTAAAGTATCCATCGTACAATAAGATGGAAAATAAGAGGGATAAATAAAATTGTACTCACAATTGATTAATAAAATTACTTTATTCTTTTGTATCTGCATTTAATTTTCTACTCTAAGATAAAATGGACCCCGACAAGCCTCAAGTAGGTTCTCTCTTATTTTCCATCGTACAGTAACACAAAGTTGATCAATGTAGCTGGAACCAAGAACACAAGTCACAAGTCTAGGATCCTCATGGACTTTGATATATTTTACTGTCCTAAACAACTGGTGATATACTTCATTTACGAACTTGGAAATGAAGTTGGATTCTTAATGTAATTCTTAGGAATCCAGCAAAAAAAGAGATGATATAATATGGTGCACCAGGATTGGGCAGAGGATTAAACTGATTGACTACAAAAATAACAAATAAAAAATTCTGCTGTTGCTCTTCGATACGGTGATTCCTATTTCATCAGTCCTCTCCATGTCCACATAGGTTTAGAACTCTTTCTTCATCTGAATCTTAAAGATGGGATCTTACCCACGCATGCGGGATCTAGGATTTTAAATCTATGCGTTCAACATTTAAAACTTCTGGTAACGAGCTAGTTATATTCTTAAAGTATGAGTTCATATTTACTATTTATTATAATTTTAGTGATTTTTACGTATAACTTTATGCTTTGTGTCGAAAGTACCGGGTAACTCTATGCTGCATCCCCCTGCTTACCCTATATTTAAACCCGTGGAGCTCTATTCCGCCCACATTTCTTGGTGGTATCAAGATGACGATGACGACAACAACAACAACCCAGCAAATTACCACAAGTGAGATCTGGGGAGGGTAGAGTGTACCGCATATCTTACCCCTACCCGGAGAGTAATGAGGTATCCGAAAGACCATCGGCTCAAGAAGACGAAAAGTTACGAAGAGGAAAGTAAAATCTCTCTACTCGTTGCCAACAACGGTCGAAAAATTTGGGAGTCGTTTGCCTCTCATATAGCTGCCACTAATTGATCAAATCATTCTAGAAAATGCATATATACTTACACAAGCTTCTCTTTTTGCTTGCTTCTGGGAAACATGTTCTATCGTCTTGGCAAGAATTGCTTTAAAATTGGAAATCTATACATCTTGCAAAATTTTCAATACCCATGTTTCTTGAAGTGATAATCCAAGCCTGTCATTTGCCTCCTGAAAGCTGAAAGAACCTGTTAAAAAACAAGTAATACTGTGAGCACAAATATGTGAATTAACTACCAACTATAGTCTATATAAACAAGACAAATAATCTCTCTCAAGTATCTACTTTTAGATTCCACCATATTATCCCTAATTAACTTGGTTTATAGCATCTTTTGAGGCTTAATATGCAGGAGTATGATGCTGGCTAAATAATCAAAGCTCCCTCCAATCTCTTGAGATAGCTAAGCAGGGATGGTCCATTATCCAGCATCATCTCTCCTGCGTAGCAAGCCTTTTGATGCTTCTCCCTTCCTATTTTCTTATTCTTTTAGAAATTTGTGACTAACTCTATTCTCTCTCTCTCCCCCTTTATAAACAAGAAAAATAGTGATGTACTTGTCAATGTCGAACTGGTTACTTGTTCTTTATCACGTTCTAAGAGTTATATTTTTTATTTTTATTTATTGTGGTAGGGTTTCCCGGACCTCGAACCCCACTAGTAAGATTTCATTCGACCGCTGTTGTTATTGTATGATAGGGTTCAGATCAACTTTAGCACATATCAATTATTCCATTGGGTAACTTTTACCTTTTACAAACAAAGTATTGGGTAATCTGGCCATTACTAATATTTAGGTAGACAAAAAAGATACCTAATTTTTTCTCTACTAATTATTTTGAATCTTGATCTTTTATGCCTAAGCAACTTTCACTTCCAACCAAGAGGTTGTGAGTTTGAGTCTCCCCAAGAGCAAGGTGGGAAGTTCTTGGAGGGAAGGATGTCGGGGGTCTATTTGGAAACAGCCTCTCTATCCCAGGGTAGGAGTAAGGTCTGCGTACACACAACCCCAAACCCCACTAAGTGAGATTATATTGGGTTGTTGTTGTTGTTGATCTTTCATGCCTTTTACTGGCTTCATTAACTACTAATCCACACACTTGAATACCTCGCCTTCTAAAATTTCTCTAGTTAACTTTTCCGATCTTTTTCTTTGTGTGTGTAAATAAAGAAATCAATTCATATTTTATTCAAATTTGAAAGAAGTAAAAAAAAATCTCGACAAAAGGTGTTCAATATGTGTTATATACTTTTAAAACGTAATATTTTACGTATATATACAATATAATTTTTTGACTCATTGACCACCTTGTGACCATGTGACCAATCATCTTTAACCAAACAAACCAAAAATAGGACAAAAGAGAAAATACAGAAAATTGAGAGGAGGAATCCATCTGAAAAGTGGCATTTAATGTTTTCTATGCAACTTGTTGGTTCCCATATAAGTGGCTTGAAATTCATTCTCGTTATGAGCCTCATCTTCTAGGTACGCTGATGTCAATACTCCTGCGTCATTACTCCCTAATTATGAGGTGGATGCCTCTTTTTTTCTTCTATTTAACGCATGTATTAGGTATTTTTAATCCTTTTTTATATAGTAGTATTTATAATAACATTAGTTATACATCCTATTCAATATTCTCTCTAGTCCACTTTAATTGATTTTTTAGTCCTTTTTGTGGTCCAGAATATTTTTTTTTCCAGATATCAAGAATGAATTAATTTCTTTTTTCCAAAGTTGCCCTTGGAGTAAAGAGCCTAGGAGTATTTGTTATATTTTCAATGAACAAATTGAGGTTAATATAACCAATTTTTTTGGTTAATTAATGCTAAAAGGTTGTTGCTTAATATGTGTGAAAACAATCAAAATCCATTAAAGTGGACCGGAGAAAGTACAATTTTTATACACATTAGCAATATCATGATTTTAATACATGGATTAGCATGTATAAGACATAATAACTATCCTTTCAAAACCTTTTCCAAGTCCTTTCCAACACATGTGAAAGGTATTTTTGTAAGCAAATAATTTTTTAAAAAAATTATGCAATGTATATTTTTAATATATCATGTCAGTCGATAAAAATAATTTAGCATTGCTAATCTCAACATTAATAATATACCTAATCAGTACTATTCTTTTAACAAATTAATGTTTCAACAAGTGGTATAATCTTACTAAGGAGTTTAATTTTTATATATCGATCATAATCAAGTTGCTTGAAAGATAGATGATAATCATGCAATTACCATTCATAAAAAGTGAGATAATTAGTAATTTAAAATTTAAGATAGGTTATCCATTATAATAGATTAGAATATGTTGATAGTGTAATAACTTCTTATACAATCAATACTTAAGTTAAATCATATACTAGTATACTACATTGTTGTACCATTACAGTAGTTTACTGATCAGGAGTATCTTATGTTCTTTTTCTTTTCTTTTTTCTCTCTTTTTTTTTTTTTTATTATTATTATTATGATGAGTGATGGGGCCTTAGGTAAGCTGGCCAGCATTCTTGTTTTTGAGAAGTAACTTACAAACACTCTTGTGACAAGTGTTTGGACATAGTAAATCTTAGGCCCCGTTAGTCCAAAAAAAATAAAATAATTCTTTTTATTAATAATTATTTGAAAATGTGTTTGTCCATGAAATTTTACAAGTTTTAAAAAAAATCGAAAATGAATTTTTTGCTCCACTTTTTCAAAATTTTCAGAAATTTCTTTTTCCCCACTAATAAAACTGTAATATTTTTTCAAGTGAAATGCATTTTCAACATAATTTCAAATTCGATATACCATTTTTTTAACTTAATTAACTCCAAATATTTTTTTCCTTCAAATATTATAATTTTTATGTCCAAACGCCTACTTAATATTTGATTCTCTCTCTGTTTCAATTTATATGCGGTGCACAAAGTTTAAGAAGAAAAAAAAAACTTTTGATACTTGTGGTCTTAAAAGCTTAATGGGTAAAAGTTTCGTGGTTCATGATATTTGTGTGGGTATATAAATTTCTCATTAAGGATAAAATTAACAAAGTTTAAGTTAGATTATTAGGCAGTATATTTATGTCCAAACCGTAGCGTTTGGTACCGTCCTTTTCTTTCGTAGGTTTGTCAGGCCTTTAAATAGGAAGTTTGACTTCTCTCATAGAGTGACGAATAATTATTCACCTCATTTAGATGTATATGTCACCAATTATATTCTTCACCATAGTTAATTCGGGTCAACTTAATATATATTTTTATTTAAAACTATAAAAATTACATCCTCGATTTAAAGAAACAAACATAATTAGCATTTTAAATAAGAATCACACTTATATTATAACAACACAATCAAATTAACATTTTCACTAGGGAATTATATTTTTTTGTATATATTACGCAAGAAAGATAATATCTTTAATAAGGAAACTACACCAGAATAAGAAAATTAAAAAAAATGAGAAGGTTAGGGGTTGGGTAGCGCAGTGCATCTATTTCGGGTACAAAGGTTGACGAGGGGTGCTAATCCGGCCACCCAACCCAACGAGCCAGGAATATCTTCAA